TGGCAAGGGATACATCTACCAGGGGACATAGAAAGGGTTCCACTAAAACTGTGGCTGATGCCTCATCATTTGGGGAGTCCTCATACCAGTAGATCAGCAAGCAAAGAGTAACTATCCCAGCAGGCATAGGTGATTGCCACGAGGAAAGGGGGCAAGGAGGAATATCTGGAACACAAGAGTTTCACTGGGGTGCCTCTTAGTGTTACCATGCCTGGTGATAAAAATAAGTTGGAAATTTCAGCAAACAAAGTCTGACAAGAGCCTGATAACCCTTAGGGAAGAGGGTCTAGGTTACTCCATCAGTCAAGCAACATAGACAAGCAGATTAGTCAAATGTGAAAGGAACCTAGAATGTGTGTGTATAGCTTGCTGGGGCTGCCATAGTAAAATACCACAAAGAAAGAATTGAAACTAATTTTCTTGTAGTTCTGGAGGCTGGAAGTCCAAGATCAGGGTGCTGACAGGGTTGGTTTCCTCGGAGGCCTCTCTCCTTGGCTTGCAGATGGCTGCCCTTTTGATGCCTCTTCACATGGCTGTCCCTTTGTGCACACTCACTCCTGGTATCTCTTCCTAATAGCCTTATTCCAACTTAATTACCTTCTTAAAGGCCCTTTCTCCCAAAATAGTTCCATTCTGAGGTACTGAGGATTGGGACTTCAACATATGTATTTGGGGGGACACAATTCACTTCTTAACAGGGTGGTAGATGATGGAGATAATATCAATTATGAACTCAGAACCATTTGTAGCAACAGGGACTATAGCTTGTCCTACTAAGCTTCTAGTGTGTGTGTGTTGGAAACTGGGACTTGAAGAAGCAGTCATAGATGGAGTCAAATTAATGTGGGCAGACATCCAGGTGTATCTCTGGGGAGTCAGGTGCTCCTTGCTGAGCAGAGCCTAGACTCACTCTAGTGGCAGCTGGCCTCAGGTTCTGGTGCGGTTTCTTGAGACAACTATAAGCACAGCATCTGGGGATTGCATGCTGAATCTTAAAAGGTTGCCCCAGAGGGGCACAGGCTGGGGCTAAACTTGGCCTGCAGCTGAACCCCTGTAAGGACTGTGCCCCTGGACATCTACTATATAAAGCCACACTAATAAGACTGAGAGACTTAGGGGCTTTGCTTAGTACATAGAAACAGACACAGAAAGGCAGCCAAAATGGGAAGACAAAGAAGCAGAAACTATATGAGAGAACAGAACAGAGATCCAGGAATAATGGAATCAAGCAATCTAACAGATACAGAGTTTAAAACACTGGTTATAAAAATGCTCAACGAACTTAGGGGAAGTATAGATGAATTCAGTGAGTACTTTAACAAAGAGATAAAAAAAACATAAAAATGGAAATGGGAATAATAAAAGGGAATCAGTAAGAAACGAAGAACACATTATCTGAGATGAAGAGTATATTAAAGAAAATCAACAGAGTGGATAAAGAAGAGGATGGGGAAACCAAAGACACTCAATCAGACTGGCAAGAAAAAAGAAACTAAGTCTATAATAATTTAAGGAGCCTATGGGACTCTATTAAATAATGCCAAAATATTCATGTCATAGGGGTACCTGAAGGAAAACAAGAAGTTGAAGAGCTATTTGAAGAAATAATGATGGAAAACTTCCCTTCTCTGGTAAAGGAAATAGACATGCAACCCCAGGAAGCTCAGAGAATCCCAATAAATAGGAACCCAAAAAGGTCTACACCAAGACACATCATAACTAAAATGCCAAAGGTTAAGTACAAAGAGAGAATCTTAAAAGCAGCAAGAGAAAAGCATATAGTTACCTACAAGGGAGCTCCCGCTAAGACTGGCAACTGATTTTCTCAAAAGAAATCATGCAGGACAGAAGGGCTTGGCATAAAATATTCAACATGATGAAAACCCAGCATCTACAACCAAGATTACTTTATCCAGCAAATCTATCATTTAGAGTTGAAGGACAGATAAAGAGCTTCCCAGACAAAAATAAGCTAAAGAACGTTATCAACACCAAGCCAGTATTACAGGAAATGTTGGGGGGACTTCTTTAAGAAGAAAAAACATGTATCAAAAACAGGAATGGTGATAACTACATTCCTATCAATAAGTACCTCACATGGAAAAGAGTTAAGTGCTCTAACCAAGTTAGGGAAGCCGAATGGATATAAGATAACAAGACCCCTACATATGCCGCCTACAAGAGACTCACTTCAGATTAAAAGACACACACAGACTAAAAGGAAGGGAATGGAGAAAGATATTGCCTTGATGGACCTAGAGGGTATTGTGCTGAATGAAACGGGAAAGATAGAGAATGTCAAATATCGCATAATTTCACATACATGTGGAATCTAAAGAACAAAATCAACAACAAAAGCAGTAATAAACTCAGATACAGAGACTATTTTGAACCACTAGTTGGGAGGGGGGTTAGGGAATGGGAAAAAAAGGCAAAAGGATTAAGAGGTACAAATGGATAGTTGCAGAATAGACATGGAAATGTAGAGTGTAGCATGGGGAAGATGGTTAATTAAGTAATAAATATGTAAAGGGGAACAGGGCACTAGATTTAGTGGGGTGACCACTTTGCGAATTATGTGGATCTCTGATTACTAGATTGGACGACTGAAACTGGTATATTATTTTATGCCATCTATAATTGAAAAAACTCATTGAACTGTACAATGTAAATATGAGCAACTAATTGTCTATTATATTTCAATAAAGCCGGGAAAAAGATTTTTAAAAATTCATGTGGGCACAGATAAATCTGAACCATGCAGGGGTCAGTGCTGTCAGTACCTATCATTTCCTTACACACCAGCCCAACTTCCAGCTGCCAGGAACCACGTCTGCCTGAGGGCCCTCAGAGATTACTAGAACCCACTCTGTCAGAGTTCATAGCAGGCCACAAATGCCAGAAAATTAATGCCTCACAGGAGCAGCCCTCGACCTGTGACTGACAGGAGTTGGTGAACGACTATCCCAGCCCCTGCCCTCAGGTGAGCTATCTCTGAGGTATGTCTCCCAGGAATCCCCAAAAGGCTTAAGTTCCAGTTGCCCACTGTGGCAACTAGCTTGATAATGCACGCTCTTCTACTTCCCTTCCCTTCTCTGGCTCACTTCCATACTGGTGCTTTCTGGGATCATGTCCCAGAAAATGTACCTACACTCGAATCCTTATCCCTGAGTCTGCTTCTGGTGGAACCCAAATTAAGATACCAACAGTCTGCAAAATAGCTCATATTTACTAAATTTAACAAGTGTACTAATTTGACTGGCTCCATTCCCTTTACACTCCTTATTTTTCTCTCAACTGGTTTCTTTATGTTCTCTTCTAGGCTACCAATTCTTTCATATCTACTACTATGTGTCAGGCGCTGGAGATAGAGCAGAAAAAAGGATAGAGAGGGGTCCTGCTCTCCTGGAGGTTACGGTCTAATCTCAAGAGTGAATCATGTAACCATGAGGAAAACGTGGGGGTGGGGAAGGATACAGCAGTGGGATCCGCCCTAGACTGGAGGCAGGGAAGGTGTGTCCCTGAGGAAGTGACCTTGCAGCTGGCGCCCGGAGGAAGTGGCAAGGCACCAGTCTCCACGTGGCTTCCCTCACCAGCAGTTTGTCCTTCCATAGTCTAACAATAGCAAATGTGACAAAAGTGGGTCAAGTAGCACTTGGGAGAAAGACATGGTTAACATAAAAATGCAAAATAAATCCCAAATCACCAAGAACCTTTATTTTATTTCATATTAAACTAAAAGAGCAATAAAAGTATTTTCAATTCATAAAACACTTACATCAATCACACTGACTAAATAGAGAGAAAAGTGATTCCCTGAGGAACTGCCAAAAATAAATAAAGTACTTAAAAATAGAATGTTCTGAGTTTGAAGGAAAATTTCCTGAGCCTTTTCAATTTGGGGAAGTCAATGGCCCTTTGCAAGCTTCAGTTTCTCAAAGGGATATCCAACTGAAGCAAGCTTCCTGTCATGACAAGAAGCTGCCACTCTCAGTAGCACCTTGTATCAAAAGAGGAGAAATAATCAATTTTCTTTCAGTCAATTTGTCCATAGTTCTAAGAAAGCTACTGCATAGAGCAAGAGAGGAAAATATATGCTCTTTGCAGTAACAAAATTTTATAGCCTAAGTGCCAGTGTTATTTTATTTTTATTTTTATTTTTTTGTCCCATGATATTTTAACTTATTAACTAAAATGAACCGTTTTCTTACAGTGTGTGACTGTTGCACGAAAGGTACATAATCTCCTTGCTGTTTGTGGGTGACAAAAGGAAGACCCCAATTTCTGTGAAAAGGGAAGACTGACACTTTAAAAGTTTCCAGGATCTAGAAGGGCAGGATCTCTGTGAAAATCCAGGACTGAGGACTGGCTTTATAACTCTAAAATTCTCTTCAGGAATAGAGTTAAAATACCAGATTTCATTGATTCTAGGATACTTTTTTTTCTGCACATGTTATAATCTCAAATTCAAATGAGCTTGGCTATTAACTGCCACACATTAATTGTGAATTCTCCCCTACCCAACTTTCTTAGTGGTATATAAAATAATGGCATGTTTTACAATCAGTGCTTAGATTAGATTAGATTAGATTAGATTAGGTTAGATTAGATTAAATGTGGTATGCAGTGCTTCAGTACACACAGTAAGTCATATAAAAATAAATCTGACATTTAAACCCTGGTAATTTCCCAATTGAAAAGATGCTGGCAAAAACATTTGGTGTCTTACATTTCAACATAAGTATCACCGCCTTGGGAAGGGTTAGAAGAATTGTGATATGGGATGAGCTTGCACTCTAGTTCTGGGCTGTCCGTAATCAGCTGGGACAACAGTGAGGAAATTGATTTCACACTTCTGGGCCTCATTTTTCTCATCTGTAAAATGAGAAAGTACGATCAGATGGCCTCTAAGTCTTCCGGCCAAAAGGAAAATAATTTTAAATCTTGTACCACTGAGAGTGTGTGTTGCTGTGGAAATTCCATAGCATGCTGCTCCTATGCCAAGGGAGCTTCTTTGCAGGTTGATGGCTCAGACTCCTCTACAGCCACTCCTGCCTCCACCCCATAAGAGTCAAGGCTCCAAATCCAGAAACTGTCCTGGATGAAGTCGGAAACACAATGCTGTCACAACTTTAGTAACTGATTAAGAAAGGATCATTCTTCAAACTGGGACAATCTGTGAATTTGTCTTAGAAACTGCGGAACTCAACAAGCTTAAGGTAAACTAAATGTCTATGATACAGTTAAAATATCAAAAAATTAGAGCAAGGGTTCATCTCAAAGTCTTCATGATTGATATAATTTCTACAGATTCTGCTGCTTGGAGTGCCTCCTTCCATGCCATAGAAGCACCAGCTGGAAAAAGCTTTGTTTTCTAAAAGGAAATAAAAAGGAAATTTTATTTCAATTAACCATTCATGTCAGCAGCCCACTCTTACATTGAGATTTTATTCAATGAAGACAAGTGTGTTTGCTTGGCCAAGGAAAACACATGGTGAGAAATGGGTATTCCAAGTGATGAAAAATAGAATGTGATGATAACAGCATCTTTTTATAGTAAATAATACATGTATTTATATTTTTTGATACACATTTTTAAATTCCAAAGTTATAATCTATCTTTACCTAAACATGTTAGAATTAAAAACAGGACTAGCAGCTAAAATCAACAATTGCAGGACAAATCACAAATTCCTAAACTTTCCTATTTAAATTTCAATTCCAAAGGTTCAGTCAAACTATTTTAGATGTTGTGATAAGTTGCTTAACTAAGTTACTAAGGTAGACTCCCTTCTTTAAAATTCTCTTAAATTCAATTATACGTGTATATGTTGAATTCTTATTCACTGAGACAGTGCGGACACTAACAAACCCCAATAAAATGATCCAACTTGAATAAATGTGTTGGTTTTAGCATCTTGCATTCAAACAGCAGATTCTCGGGCTCTGAGAAACTAGAGTTGTTGGGTCATATGCTATTATTAAGCCACTAGAGTATATGATTCATGCAAACTGGGGAGGGCAGGAGAGAACATGGTTAAAAATAAAAAGATACTCTTGGAGCTGCTCTTGCCCTGCCCATAGCCATCATCCTTGTGATGATCCAGAGAGCAATTTCACCTTTGAATCCCACGTCATTGATTCTTGTGTTGCTGCTCTACCTCTAATATGGGTCTTGCCTCTTTCCATGAGAAATATGGAGGCTTATGAAATGAAGAAGAAATGACAACTGGTTGTAAAGACTACATTTGTTTGAAGGTGAGAAATTCATATATATAGTTTGAGGATGGGGTATGTATGTCTTCAATTTCCATTATCTTTTACAGCAAAATTCCTTACATATTAAACACACTTCTTAAGCAATTTAAAGATTTGTGTTTAAATGTAAGTAATTCTAGCTGATTATTTCTATTGAATCAAAGACAACATGGCTTTCATCCTATTTAGCTAATTGGCTATAAGTCACAAAGTAGATGTTTTTAAAGGGTTTTGATGTGCTCACTTCCAAGCGATTTCCAGTCAGATGGTACAATGAAGGTTTTAAGAACTCTCTTAAAACCTGTTTTGTTTCATAAATGACAGCAAATGTCACAAACACCAAACCAAGAAGGGTGGGAGAGAGGCCATCTGAGTTCCATTATGACTTCCTGCATCCCACCCGCCTCTCCTATCACTCTCTCAGGAACACATGACGTTCAGTAATATGCAAGAGGATCAACTCTTTAAAACACTTTTTAATTAAAGAAGTGATAAATGTTTATGCAGACAAATGAGAACACATGGACAAACAAAAATAAAGACTATTACCTGTTTGGGAATACATCCTTTCAGACCTTTACTTTGCTCATTTATGCATATATTGTCATACCCCAAGATATGCCCATTTGGGTTAAAAGAATTATACTTTATGAGGAGTTTCATTTAGTATTGCTCTTTTGGCTTCAGAGGCATTCCTAAACATTTGTGAAGATTGATACTGACTCGGGGCATGGTACAAGCACTCAAATGCCGAAGAGTAAGAGTCTTAAGACTCATCTTTGCAGTCACAGTTGACTTAATAGTCCTGCTCTAGGAATCCTTGTGATTCAAGAGTCCAAGTAGTAATAATCTGGTGGAAGATGACCCTTTGATACCTTTGTGTGTTCGGAGAGTGTAATACCATTTGCCTTATTTTTATCCACTTCTTTTACCTGACTTTTCCTTTTTTGGGAATGAAGGTGTGAGAATCATGTGTGTTGTTTGTGAGCATTGCCTTAAGTGTAGGTGTGTAATAGACACTACAGAGTTTAATGAGAGCAAGATAAAGAGTTGTAGAATAATTAATGAAGGGAAAATACCCTCATTCAAATAGGTACAGAGTGGTCTCCAGTTCCATTTCAGTGGTGGGATCCAGAGAAGTCATCCTGCAGGAACACCACACCTACCAGCGTGCCAACCTGTTGCAAGGCCTTGCTTGCTTGTAGTGGTGTTATAAAGAAGCATCAAAGTCTTCAAAAACACAATCGCCAGGCTAAATGCAATTTGATCACATGAAAATGATTAAAGGCTCTTACCATTGATGTTACTGGTAGATCAAACTGTAGTTATCAATCACAGAGTAACCTGGGTCATCTGCAAAGGGCGGGGCACAAAACAACATGAATCCAACATTTTTCCATGATAAGATCTTGCCCTTTCAAATCAAGGCATTCCACTCAAAGATTCTAGTGACTTCCCTTTAGTAAGAAAATATAGCTGGCAATAAAAACTACAGATGGTAGTCATAACTATAAACAAGAGAATATTCTGGAATTCACTATTATGATTTCTTTGCCCTTTTCATCTATGCCCAGAGAGCAGCACCCACAGTAAAGTCATCTTCAAAAATAGACAAAAATAAGTCTGACATTATCAAGTCATAATTACAAGGCAATAAGAAAAATTTTAAATCCTTTTATTGTTCAAAGATGTCATTTCAGCCACGAAATTTTTTTTCAGTCACTAATTTTTTGCTAAGCTGCTAAGTACAGCATTAGTTGTCTCTTCCCTCAATCCCTTGAACATAGATAGGCATATCTTTCTTTTATACAAATAATAGATATTTGTTGAGTACCTACTAAATGCTTAATACTGTGTTAGGTATTGTGAATGATACAGGAAAAACAAATGCTTGCCCTCAAGGGTCTCATAATTATCTAAGAAATATAACTATTAAAAAAAAATGATCAAATGTGTAGTTCTTCCAGTGGTATCATAAGAATTTAGGGAAAAAAGGAGACTAGTGACTAGCGAAAGATCCAATTATGGACAATATAAAATATATATAATATTAAATTACACGGTTCCAGACATCTATGCTTTCTATAAATTATATTTCTGTTTAATCCAAAGGAAACTATATCTCAGCTCTGCTGTTCTCACAGCCAAGTTGAAATAATTTCTTAAGTAAGACTGTCTTATAAAAAGTTTCTTTTGGCACTCTAGGAACTAAATTCTCTAAGCTATAAAATAGACCACCAATTACCAAATCCTGCTTTGTGACACATAGTATTATAATAAGATTCTAATATAGACTTATTCTCTTACGTATTTAATTCTATTTATTCCCGTTTTTCCTTTTATTTAAACATTCTAGCTACTCAACCTTAAGGAAAACCTGACAAGCATTTCCAAAGGCCTTTCTCGGTGACATACCTGGTAAACTTTTAGGGACTGGGAGAGGTCCCCTCCTGTAAGAAATGAAAACAAAAATCTTTCAGATGCGTTCTTGTTTTTCTAATTTTCTACTTCATATAACAAGCATAATGCAGTCTAGTCATATCTGGTTTCTGCTTTGGAGGACAAGAAAAATGGAGATGAAGCCAAAGGTCTGAAGCACTGACCTACTGCAATCTACGCTGCAGACATTCTGTTATTCTGAGGAGCAGGATGCACCATGGTCAGGAGCACAGAGCCCTGACACCACAAACCATATGGGCAGGAGGGACATCTCAGCTGTGTGGGTGAGATTTCCTGATCTCCTTGTACATCAGCATTTCCACGTGTAAAACAGGAAAAACAAACAGCTCCCGCTTCACTGTGAGGATTAAAGGAGCTAATTCACATGAACTGTTTTTTGTGGTTCTTTTTTTTTTGACATATTCTCCACCTCACATAGTTATTATTTTCTTTTTTATTTTATTTTATTATTAGTTTCAAGTATACAGTACATTGGTTAGATATTTATATAGTTTATAAAACGATCCCCCTAATTGCTCTTTCTCTCTTCTGGTTCTCCACCTAGCCATTACATTACTGCTGACTGCATTCCCTATGCCGTGCTCCTCATCCCTATGACCATCTACCAACTACTAATGTACTTCTTTAACCCTTCACCCATTTTTCCCAGTCCCCCAAAGCTCCGCCCCTCTGGCCGTCACAAGATTGTCCTCTATATTTGTGAGTCTGTTTTCAATTAGTTTGTTCTTTTTGTTTCTTAGATTCCACATATGTGAAATCATATGGTATTTATCTTTCTCTGTCTGACTTATTTCACTCAGCATACTAATCCAGAAATGATGGAGTCAAGCAATCTAACAGATGCAGAGTTCAAAACACTGGTTATAAAGATGCTTAATGAACTTATGGGAAGTGTAGATGAACTCAGTGAGAACTTTAACAAAGAAATAAAAAAACACACACACATAAAAATGGAAATGGAAATTATAAAAGGAAACCAGTCAGAAATGAAGACTACATTATATGAGATGAAGAGTTTATTAGAGGGAATCAATAAAGTGGAGGAAGAGGATCGAAACACCGATATCAAGGAAGGAGAAGCCAAGGACACCCAACCAGAATGGCAAGAAAAAAGTAACCAAGAATAGAAAAATAGTTTAATTAGCTATGGGACAAAATTAAGGGTAACAACATCCATGTCATAGGGGTACCTGAAGAGGGAGAACAAGAAGTTGAATACATATTTGAAGAAATAATGATGAAAAACTTCCCCAACCTGGTAAAGGAAATAGATAAAACAACAGGAAGCTCAGAGAATACCAAAAACCAGGAATCTAAAGAGGCCCACACCAAGATACATCATAATTAAAATGCCAAGGTTAAATACAAAGAGAATCTTAAAAGCAGAAAGAGAAAAGCAGTTAATTACCTACAAGGGAGCTAGTATAAGACTTTCAGCAGACTTCTCAGCTAAAACTTTGCAGGCCAGAAGGGACTGACATGAAATATTTAAAATGATGAAAATAAAGGACCTACAACCAAGATTACTCTACTCAGCAAAGCTATCATTTAAAATAGGACAGATAAAGAGCTTCATGGACAAAAAAAAAAAAATTATGGTGTTCATCAACACCAATCCAGTATTATGAGAAATGTTAGAGGGACTTCTCGAAGAAGAAAGAGAAAGAGCGGGGGTGGGGGTGGGGGCGGGGAGCAGGCGGAGG